AATCCATTTTGACAAAATACAGAGTTACTGCCTTTTGATACTTTTCCTTGTCCGGAGCATAACTTAAAACGTACAGGTTGGAATTCAAAACAACTTCATACAATGGTCAAGCACAATAAGAGGAAGTGCAGTGCACAAGAACTATTACTCTATCTTAAGTATTTATAGAGTTATTGCCCTTTGTTCTTTTTCTTTGTCTTTCTGGACTTATTACAGAGTAATTCAATTAAACTTCATCAATGGCCAACCACATTGAAAGGAAATGCAACATACATGAACCACAATTATCTTTAATTGCCCACAACCATAACTCTATGTTTCAATTCTTTTACAAGGTATTCTGTTACTAGTAACATCCTCATTTCCGAAGCAGACTTGTGGGGGTATTAATCACATTTAGTGATAGTTCTAGTTTGATTTTGATTAACTAGTATATCTATAAAGTTTTATTTTATAAATCTACATGTATGTTTTAAATAATAGTTTGTTGTAGAAACCCCGCATAAATTTACTGTATAAAGTTCCTATATTTTGTTAAATATGGTAGCCAAAGAGTCATTAAATGTGCAATAATGAAAGGAAAAAAGACTGGTTTTCACATTACAATGTGTGTTGACTGTGACAGATTTCAAACATTGCAGTGTGTGTTTGTGACAGATTTCAGACATTACAATGTGTGTTTGTGACAGATTTCAATCATTACAATGTGTGTTTGTGACAGATTTGAAACATTACAATGTTTGTTTTCTTTGACAGATTCATACATTATAACATGTGTTTGTGACAGATTTCAGACATTACAGTGTGTGTTTGTGACAGATTTCAAACATTACAGTGTGTGTTTGTGACAGATTTCAGACATTACAGTGTGTGTTTGTGACAGATTTCAAACATTACAGTGTGTGTTTGTGACAGATTTCAGACATTACAGTGTGTGTTTGTGACAGATTTCAGACATTACAATGTGTGTTTGTGACAGATTTCAGACATTACAGTGTGTGTTTGTGACAGATTTCAGACATTATAATATGTGTTAGGTCTGTGACTGTTTTCAGACATTACAAAGTGTGTTTTCTGTGACAGATTTCAGACATTATAATATGTGTTTTCTGTGACAGATTTCAGACATTATAATATGTGTTTTCTGTGACGGATTTCAGACATTATAATATGTGTTTTCTGTGACAGATTTCAGACATTATAATATGTGTTTGTGACAGATTTCAGACATTATAATATGTGTTTTCTGTGACAGATTTCAGACATTATAATATGTGTTTTCTGTGACAGATTTCAGACATTATAATATGTGTTTTCTGTGACAGATTTCAGACATTATAATATGTGTTTTCTGTGACGGATTTCAGACATTATAATATGTGTTTTCTGTGACAGATTTCAGACATTATAATATGTGTTTGTGACAGATTTCAGACATTATAATATGTGTTTTCTGTGACAGATTTCAGACATTATAATATGTGTTTTCTGTGACAGATTTCAGACATTATAATATGTGTTTTTTGTGACAGATTTCAGACATTATAATATGTGTTTTTTGTGACAGATTTCAGACATTATAATATGTCTTTTTTGTGACAGATTTCAGACATAATAATATGTCTTTTTTGTGACAGAAATTCAGACATTATAATATGTCTTTTTTGTGACAGATTTCAGACATAATAATATGTGTTTGTGACAGATTTCAGACATTACAATGTGTGTTTGTGACAGATTTCAAACAATAAATGTGTTTTCAGACATTATAATACATGTATGTGTTTTCAGACATTATAATATGTGTTTTCTGTGACAGATTTCAGACATCATAATGTGGTAGGTCTGTGACAGATTTCACATGTGACAAATTGTATACAATGTAGTTTTCTCTTCCAAGATTTAAGACTACACTTTGTGTTCTGTCTTTTAAAAATATTGCCACATATTGTGTGACATAGTTAAAACACTAGGAGTTGTCTGTGACAACCTTTTTACACCTGTAGTTTCAAAATGGCTATTGTCTGTGACAAAATTAAACATTTTACTATGTCTGCTTTATGTTATCATGTTACAGACATTATGTTATCCTAGTCTTATACTTTCTTTACTCAGTATTAACATTGTTTTTATTACTTTGTTTCTAACTTTCTTTGATATGTTTTATTTTGAATTTTTTAACAGAAGAATGTTGTATATTTTTTAGCTAGTAATATTTTTAATACAGGTGGTCTCTGACACCAAGTTATATAAATATATATAAATTGCTGTTTGACAAGTGTTAAATCTGCTTCCATTTCTGGGTTCTGATCAATTTCATTTGAGAGTTTTATTACACTAGTAGTCTCCCCTGGTCAATTCCAAAAGAAACACTTTTCCTGAACATTTTCTGAAACAGTTGCATAAATCTAAATTTATTGGTCCCAATCCATTGCCTGAAAATTGCCAAATTCAATTGCTTGAAACAGTCTTTATCAGATGCCTTAAATCATTTACATATACCAATAGCCTGAGAAACAGTGTCTCAATCAATTGCCTGAAGCAGTTGACTAAATAAACCTGAAACAATGTACATAATTCAATTGCCTTGATCAGCAACTAAATTTTTTCGACACCAATCAATTGCCTGAAAATTGCCAAATTCAATAACTTAAAACAGTCTTTAAACAGATGCCTTAATCATTTACATGAATCAATTGCCTGAAGCAATGTCTCAATCAGTTGCTTGAAACAGCTGACTAAATCAATTTCCTGAAACAAGGAACATGAAATCGAATTGCCCTGAAACAGTTTGTTGAATGGGTTTATATTGTGATTGATATAATTGGGTTGTTTAAGAAGAATATTTTCACTGTGGAATTATATATCCTTGTAATTTTAAAAAGGAGATTTTTTCAGCCTTATGCATAAACAAAGAGAATTTTCCCTATAAACTGGGACATATTGATGTATATGTCTGTATATACTGATATTAACAATATGTATATATATTTGCGCTTTGGTTTTTGTCAAGTTTTTGTTAAATTTTAAAGAAATATTTTCCTCAGCTTTGCTATATGTTTCATTCATTTGATTTATAACAAATTATTAACACAATTTTATCTCTCTTTTTTTAAACGATTGTTATTACATATAAAATAAATAGGTTTTTTCAGAAGAAGAAAAATATTTTGTTGAGTGCTACCCTGTAAGAATGCAATTAAGTCAAAGAATAATTAATAACTGGTGTATTGTATTTGCGTTTATTTATACTCGCCACCGGTTGCCCATATGGGCGAGTCCTCCAGAAGAGTATTAGTCATTTTAGATTTTTTGGAGGATAGTGCAATTACAGATACAGAAAGATGCCCCAATTCCAGAAGCTTCTCCTGGTTCTTTAGCGTGCCAAGTGTTTAAGCACCCATACACGGGACCTCGATTTAAAGTCTCATCCGAAAGACTGATTAGTAATTTTAGTTGGCCAGCCCGGGAATCGAACCCACAATGTCGAGATTACAAGTCTCGCGCTCTAACCGATTGAGCTATGCGGGCTGGCTGAATTAATAACTCCAATAACAATAACTAATTAAAAGAACAGTAATTAAATCAAAGAACTATAATTAAGACAAAGAACAATTATTAAGACAAAGAATAACAAATATGTCAAAGTACAAATATTAGAGAACAATTAATAAACGAAAGAATTGCAAACAAGTTCCAAAAACAAAATGTAAGGTCAAAGAATATTTTATATTTAAACAAATAACATATAAAAAATGTAAATAAGTCAAAAGAACAATTATTAAACAAAAGAACAATAAATAAGCTAAAGAACAAATGATAAATGGCATCTATCAATATGAATAAGTAAGGAAAAGGTAGATCATATTTGGTTACATTTTGTATTGATTACCCATTTGGTAACATTAATCCTTCTGGAAGCCTGGAACCAAAGTGAATAGCCTTTGCTACCAATATAGAGCCAGGCAAGCCTGAGCTTATGTGCAAACTGCCAAGGTTCTATACTGTTGGCTAACTTCACTTTAAAAACTTTCATCTTGTTATCATGTATAGGTCCAAAAATAATGAAAGCTGGACAGATCCATTACCCCAAGTCAACAGGTTATTGGTTAATTACATGGTTTGTTGACATGTTTATTTCTTTGATTTACTTATAAGCCCAGCAACTTAGTATCATTGTTATCATTATTAGATTAGTACATTATGCTAAGATCCATTAATATATTATTGCATTTTCATCTACACGTTATCTTGACTTTTGGTCGACAAAATAAAACCATATAGTTAAGAAAGCTATGCCTTGTTTTCACTTATTCCTGGTCATTTGTCCCAGTTTGTCCTAATTGAAATAATAGCCATTACACATTTTTAGCCCGTATCGCTCTCTTTCCCTGGTGTAAAGTCCATCAATATTATGTTACATCACAATTTTTCGCAGTTGCATCAATTTTACTTTACTTTTTCAAAGCGTTAACGGCTTTGTTTTTAGCGTCACCATTTGCACATTCGCCATTTGCAATCCATGCCAATTGGCGGCGGCCAGAAACGAGGGTCATGTTGTATGCGCTCTACTATTATCATATAAAAAAAGGATCGCGTTGCAATGATTAACACTGCTCTTTTTATCAGTCGTGTAAAGTCTCGATCAAGTGTCACATGTCATTTCAGACATGAGAGTACAAATTAAAGCGTGAGGTGTCGGCTGAATTGATCAGTTCAAAGCTCCGCCCAAAAAAGTTACAGTGTTAAGATAAAGTACAGTGCATAGCTCCGCCCTAAACGTATTACCCCCAAAAAATATTTTTCTGTAAGGGGGTTTTTTTTCCAAAAAACCAAAAAAGCACCCCCTAAAGGGGTTTTTTTAAGAAGTCTGCCCCAAAATTTTAATAACGTGTTTTAATTTATGTTTTTAATTAGAAATTGCCCGTTCGGGGCATTTGGATAGTAGGGGAACCCCAACTAAATATAACACTAACGCTTCGCCAAAAAGTAGTACCGCCCAGATAAGGTATAGTTTAAAGCTCCACCCCAATATGTATACAGTTCCTTCTGTATAATTAAAAGTTTTCAAGCTCCGCCCCAAAAGATACATTCTTGAGATCTGGGAGATGTAATTCAATCCATGTCATCTACTTGTAATGATATTTTATTAAAAGAATAAAATATATTTTTCCAAATGAAATAACGTACGCGAAAAGTGCTTTGCTGAGCGTTATACAGGTAAGCAATTTCCAAATGTAGCAATGGATGCGAAATAATTCGTTGTCCAAGAAGCTGCTTTCTTTTTTCCACAATGGTCAAGTTATATTTAAGCAATTTATAATCTATACGTAAGGTAATGGCTTCAATCACATTGTTTTTACAATCCACGGTAATGTTCTATTTTAAAAGTTTTCTTTTGAAAATGAAAATTTATGATTTGTCGCAATTTGTTTCAATGATTTGGAAAGTGTTGGTGGACCACATACAAATACTTTCACTTTTCCATTATTTTCAAGCTTAACGTCATTGAAAATCTGAAATTGAAAAGTACGAATGTATGAAGTACGAATATAAGATCAAATGGAACGCCTCGAAGATTAAGCATAATATTGGCTTTATCCGAAGTTTGACGGAAAAGAGCCGAGAAGATGCGATATGAGATATTAAATATAGTAACAAACAGTCATCCCTATCTATTTTAAAAACTTTATAAATTTTATCTGTGATTGTTATATAAAGTTCCATGATCTTATTTTCAAATATGAGATTAGGTTTCATGTTTATTCATAATTATATATTCGCGAAAGAAATTGGAAATTGTCAAGAAATTGCAACTTACCTTTTCCCAGTCGGGCCTCCCCGGTTGTGTTTTGGTTCGCAGTCCGGTTAAGAGATCCGTCTTACTTTTTTCATACATGAGATCAAGTGCAACCTAAAACAAGATTAATAAGTATTTGTTTCCTCGGACTGTCAATTATATTTGTATGGTCCGTGACCATTAATTCAAGTACTTTGTTTGGTCTAAAACAAAATAGTGATTGCTTAAGCAGGGCTAGGGTGCATGGGATGTTGCCCTTCTCATTTCCTCCATGAACAGACTAATCAATCCAAGTCTGCAATCTTCACAATTTTTTCATTTTTTTTCCATAAATATCAAAGATACCCGCTTTTCCAGATTTTGGGTTATTACCGACGGAAAGGGCCGAGAAGTTGCGATTGCAGCAAAACTAATAACTTCACGAAAAGAACACTTTGCGCCGGGTGAGTACCATTTTGAATAATTCTCTTGATTCTAAAAACACGTTTGTGTTGGGTTTTATCTACATTAAAAAGCGCATTCGTTTTATATTTTAATTTTACAGAATTTAAATTTTACACCTTGCTCACGTGTTTTTTTGCGAATTTACAGTTACATGTATGGCGGGAATTTGTCCACGTGTTTATGTAAAATGTTATTCATTTTGCATAGATTTATTAAGCTTCAAGAAATATATGTATATGCTAAACGAAATCCAATTAATGTTGGTAAATTATAAAAGTTCAACTCAAGATGCAAAGCTTGGCTTTTATAGCCCATTTGCTTTACAATCTGACGAGTAAAAATTTGGCAACAATGTATAAGATTCAACCAAATATTTGTCTTTGTTATATAGACTACAAGCACATTACATTACTTCTTCGAACATTCGTAGCTAAGAAATTCTACAAGTAAAAAGTTAAAAAATATAACCTGTAAGCCAATCCCTTTCATATCCGTTTTCTTCTGTGCTGACGTCATATACATGTGTATCTGTATCCGGTTTTCTAGTATATCGTGCTGATTTTGCTCGTGCTCAATTTGCTTCAGTAACGAGACGAACCACTCAAAACTTTTCTGATCTCGATTCACCCATATAAAATCAACCTTTATACAAAAATACCATATTAAAAACAAACCCTTTTTGAAAAAAAAATAAACCAAAAGGAAAACCCCTTTTAAAAAATCATTTCGAAAATTTTTAAAATTTTTAAAAAACAACATTCAGCAAATTAAAAATCTCAACCCCTTTTAAAAATGTTGTTTATTGCTTATGAGTATGCGGGGGGAGTTTGTTAAGGTCGTTTGGGCCCTTAAAAAAAACCCCTCGCCAACCCAATCCACCGTTGTGGGATTTAAAGCCCGCCCCAATTTGGGTTTAAATATTTTTTCCCTTTGAAAAAACTCTAGGGAGGGTTTGGGGGAAGTCTGTGGGTTTTGAAGATTTCCTTCGTCCTAAAAAAATTATGCGTGGAGGGGCACCTGATGTCTTCCCACACCAGTAAGGGGCGGCCCTGACCGATTGGTTAAGGTCGTTTTGACTTCAAACCAATTGCCCATCACCACTGTGGATTTGGATTCTTTCATATGAGGAAGCTATCCAGCCAGCTAGCGTACATAACGTCGATGGTTCTACTCAGGTGCCGTTCATGCCAGAAATAATGTACAGACGGACACCTGATGTCTTCATTCACCAGTATAGCAGGATAATCGCCAACTGATTATTACACGGCCAGTATGACTTTAAAAAAACTTAATACCCAACAAAAACATTGTTTGTGCTTGTAGATATTATCATATTTATACATGTATATATTTGTGATGTTTGGCAATACCTTTTTAAGTTTCATGTTGCTTTCATCAGGTAACCAAGCGTGCTGGCACTGTGGACATTCTCGTCTTGTTGCACTGAATTTATACCATACACTCTGTAGTATTGAGGCCATGGGTGTGATCCCTATACCAGCACCAACCAAAATGGCATGGTTGGTATCAAAAACCTCTCTGGTCCCTGTCCCATAAGGTCCGTCCAGAAAACACTAAGTATAACAGAATAATATATACAGTTTAGAAGTATTTTACACCGACTGCAAAATGTCTTGTTCTGCATAAAAGTATTGTACTTGTTAAACAGATATTCTTACATAAATGGCAAAAAAACGCGTATAAATCTATAGTTACTGAACGTGTATTAATCAAACAAAACTATACAGGTGTACTTGTTTAATTAAATATAGCGTAGAGATCCATAGCGTTGATTATGACCACTGAATATTGAATATGCTTGTTTCTTACAATACGTAAACACACGTGTGCTCCTGCGCTTAACTTTTATCACTGGACTTGTCCATCTTTCAATCTTGACACAACCACTCGTCATTTTTAGGATAAAACAATTAAAAATGATCGAAAACGGGACAATGCAGGCCATGGTAAGACGACACGGATGTGCTCGCGCTGGCCGCATGGTTAGATTCTGTTATAGTCAGCAGGGTAATGGTTAAAGTCCTTTTCTCTTACCTTTTTATGCCACGCCCATCTAAAACATTGACACGCCCAAAATTAACTCACAGAATAGCACAATACAATACAAAACAAAATACGAAAAAATAAAAAGAAAGGAATACCTTTATTGAAACTTTTTTATGGTTACAATTTCGCTTTGATGTTGTTTTGGTACGGAAAGTCATGGAGTTCATCATGGTCGCACGTTTTACATAGGCCTTAAAACAACAGAAACGCAATAATAGGAACTCCACTGAGGTTCAAAAGCTTAAACACATAAAATTTGAATTTCTTACATAGATCAGGCGGGGCTTTTAAAACAGACAGATATGTAGATAAAATATTTATTAAGAATAGAGAATCTTATTTTTTTTGCTCTCATCCCAGATTGAGTGAAAAGCGTTGCAATGCTTTTCAATTTTGGGTCATTTTACAATTTAAATTATTATTCTGGAAAAATAGAGTAAGCAAAAAATCTTTAATTCAGCACAAAAGCTGTTGGTATAGATTTACATCAAATGGAACAGTAATCACTAAAAATATTTCTGGCCTCATCGATCATGTCAAAAGAAAAACCTTTCTGAGCAGCAGCAAATGAATTACAAAGTTATATCGCTTATAGATACATTGCACAAATCTAATGATTACTTACCTTTTCAAATTCTTGAAAGGTATTGCTATTTTCTTTCTCTGTAAAGAATTTTATAAAATAAATTGAATAATATTTGTTTTATAAATTTAGATGGAAAAAACAACAACATAAAATGTTAAATTCTGTTCAAAAAGTATTTCTTTCTTTTTATTTATTCCTCTTTTTTCACAGCTTGATTAAATTTTGTGGTTCCTTTTGTAACCCTTTATTTATCAGTGTTTTCTTCTTTTTACTAACTCAAAAGATGCAACAGAGCTAATTAGGGGGTAGCCTTTTCTACCGTTTACTTAGAGCGTTTTCTAAAATCTACCAACAAATTCTGTTACATTTTTCAAGAACCGTATGTTGTGCTATCATGATGAATAAAACGTTATACCTATCTTCGTGTCTTCCTCGCAATCAAAATCTTCAAGGCTTTCAAAATAATCATAAAGTTTGTTGGTCCAGTGACCTGCTGAACGAATGTGCAGCCAAATATGTCCTAAAATGTTACAAATAATACATATTTCACAAAATGTCACTCGACGAAAAGAAGTGCTATTTAAACAAGGATATAACCAAGATTACCTTCATGCCTAAGTCCCCAGTAAAGAATGATCTAATCATACATGATAATACTTTATTCCCGGTTAGCTTGAATTACTGATATCTCGAAAAAAAATTGACTCGTGTCCTCAGAGTTTGAGATAACGAAGTTCGACTATACATTGTTTGACTCCGTTAATAGATCTGAGCAATATTTTTAAATACAATTTTTATTGCGTTTTTAGCTTCTGTTCTTATTAGATTGATTGTCGTAATAAAATTTTCTTGTAATATATTAAACAAATAAGGCAGACGAACCTTCCATTTCCGGTGCCGAACTAATGGTAAAAGGGTGCCATTCGTGTGTCGCTATCACCGGAATTTGTATAAACAGGTAGTCACCAGGTTTGTACCGGAAACTCACCGGTCGATCAATCACCAAATGTATTACCTTTAAACCAATAAAAAAATTTCCATATCAATTTTAACTCAATCTCAGTAAAGAAATCATATGTGATCACTTTAAAGGAGTTCCACTGAGGTCAAAACGTTAAAAAAAATCCATAAAAGTTGAAATTCTTACATTGATCGTTCAAGTGAGGGAAAACCTTTAAAGGATAATAAAAATGTACTCGGAATTAATTAGAATATCGATGTTTTGTGTGGTTCTTATCCCGATTTGAGCGAAAAGCGTTGCAACGCTTATCATTTCTGGGTCACATAGAACAATAAAAATGATAATTCTTGATTAACGGGGTGAGAGAATGATCTGAAAATTAAAACACAAGTTATTGGTCAAGACCTACACAAATGATACCCAAATCTCGGAAAAATATTCCCAGTACCTCCATGTCAAAATAAACCTTAGTGGAGTCCCTTTAAGAAATATAAAATTTATAAACCACAATAATTGAAACATTTTATGATATTATAATATTGTAGATCTTGTTTGTTAGTATTCCATCATCATTACAATTATTATTTGTACTTAATATGTCCTTTTTCGGACTGTCTATTACAAGAAACAACTCAAAATGTGAATAAATTCAACTTTTTCTTAAAGTTTGTTTGTTGGGTTTCACGGTGCACCAACACAATTTATATCATATGGCGCCGAAACAGGAAAACTGGTTTTGGTAAACCGCGGGTATTTCAAACTTAAAGCAACACCGGCGGTCAAAACCACCTCACCTGCTGGAGCTCAGAGATGCATAGACTCCAGTAATTCAGACTCACTTAGTAGCCTCTTACGATTACGCAGGGATAAACGGTGGCTGCAATTCTGATCCCTCAACACTTAAAGGCAACCTCTCAGTCATAAGGGTTTTATTCTTAAAGCCAATGACAAGAACAGATTTCTTATATGTATACAGTTTTTTATATATCATTTTCATTTATTTCTTTTACATAAGAATTTACACCTGCATGTATTCACATTAAAGTACAAACTGTTATGATAGCGACATCATACACGAAATAGAAAACACTGATTTATTTACCCTGGATGGTAACAGATTGACTTTCCCTTTAAAGAATGTTTTAACCCTGTTTTCCACTAAACTTTAAAGCTTTTTTACCTTTGATATTTTCTCCCAAAAGAAAAAGTGTTTCCCGGGGGCCCAACAAAAAACCCTTTCCAAAAAAAGGGGACCGTGTAAAATGACGAGAATCCAAAATGGAACATATAAAAGATGGGTCCAGTAGAAAACCTGAAATAGATTTGACATAAAATGTTTTCATAATGGCCTAGTTGTTTGGCTGAAGACAACAAGGCCATTATGGACATTATATTAAACATTTGAAATGTTCACATTAATTGTTATTGGTTAACCATCTTATGTTCTTTGGGTAAATACCTAATAAAATTTTCACAGACAATATTCTTCATAATGGCCGAATTTTGTGTTAATATTGTTTTGGAGAAGTTCATATTTGCTCTGCATTTGTAGTAAAAATGCGCCTAAGATTGTATACATGTAGTTTATTAATAATAAACAGTAACGCTTAAGATGACTGCAGAAATTCTAAGCGCAATTTAAGTTCTTAACGAGAAAACACGCGAGAGTGACCACCCAATAGGGCCAATGTCACCCAATCGAAACATCCCCGGCTATTATTCATAATGACCTTTTCCGAAGACTGACGGAAAAGGCCGAAATGTCGCGACTGCATTGTCATAGAAGAAATTGATCAATTCATTTTAGATATATACCTGAAAATGTCCACCACGTCTAACAGAAGGTAGAGAACAAATCACAATGATTATAAGGACGATGTCTAACAGCCAACCCGTGATGAAAGCACTGCCACCAACGTAACCAACCCCCGCCTTCACTGTGAACAACACTTCCCACATTTCCATGACATTCACGTCGGCAACAATTGCTTAAAATGAAGATGAAGACAATTTAGTTGGGTTTTTTTCTTCTTTTTTTCTTCAGCCGTCGACTGTATGTTTTCACTATGACTTCCGGTAAATGTATAGAATATTTGCAATCTTTCCCCGGTATTTGCCGGAAATGTACATAACTACATGTATGTTATCTTTACATTTGTAGTGGTGGTCAAAAGAAATGAATCTATTATGTAAATTTTTTTCAAAAATAGCAGGCATGTAAAAAGGATTGTTCTGGTTGCCAATGCTAAAAATAGTTCTTTATCTTACGATCAGTGAGCCGCTGCAGAATTGTATGGCTGTATTAGAAACATCATAATGAACTTAACCTTAATGTTTAAAGCGGCCTTCAGTTTTTATTTTTCTGTTGGAAAAACAATTTGATGTTGTTTCAAACTAAGTATTTCAGTAATTTTATCTTGGAAAAGTGCATAATATCACTGTCATGTTTTCTTCTATATAAAACTCGTCAGTGACGTTCGTTTCTAAAAATAGAAGATCGGGAAACGGAAAGTTTAAATATAGAGCGAGGACAGGTAGATAAGAGGTATCGGGGTTTTCTTATTGTTTATATATTTTATCGTAGACAAATTTCATTTCCACCATTCGACTATTATATGAAACGATTTATCTAAAAATAACATATTTCACATTGAGAAAAGCTGAAGGCCGCTTTAATTGTTTTAGCAAAATAATAATAATCATAGAACTTGCAGAAATCGCATTCTAAAAGAGGCTACCTGCATTTCCTATGTGTGCAAATGTATGCACTGTAGCGAAGATGACGATGGCGATTGCTGTCATTTTATGGAACATTATATGTTGATCTAGAGGTAGCACGTGCGACAATACTGTCATACGGATGTAGGTTAAACAGTTACGTAACATCAGTACTAAGATCCACATACAATTGAAGTTCAAACATAACCCCCCGCCTCTAGCTACCTAAAATAGAATAAAAATGTGTTTAAAGTGAATTTGTCCGTCTTGCTACCTTAAATTAGAATAAAAATGTGTTTAAAGTGAAATGGCCCCTCTAGCTACCTTAAAATAGAATAAAAATGTGTTTAAAGTGAAATGGCCCCTCTAGCTACCTTAAAATAGAATAAAAATGTGTTTAAAGTGAAATGGCCCCTCTAGCTACCTTAAAATAGAATAAAAATGTGTTTAAAGTGAAATGGCCCCTCTAGCTACCTTAAAATAGAATAAAAATGTGTTTAAAGTGAATTGGCCCCTCTAGCTACCTTAGAATAGAAAACAATTTGTTTTTAAACTGAATTGGTCCACGAAGGTCTGTAAGAGCTTAAATAATTATATTGATAGTATTTAAGTGTTCATAATTTTTTGACGAAACACGAAAGAGTGATACATAGTTATGGGACCACAATGGAAATAAGAGTCTTTTTTGTGCTAACCTTGGTGCTGGTGTGTATGTCATGGCTTATATATTCCCATGTATGTTTTAAATGTTTGTACCATACATGTCCATATATCTGTATTCTATACCAAAATAAATCTAAATCTAGCAAATCACGAAGTGTATTATATACATGATCCGATATTACATGTATATCTTCATGTATGTATGTATGTATGTATAATAACAGATAATAATTTGTTCAAGAACAAGCCGGCTGTTTGTCGATCAAATAAAAGTGAAATAAGGAAAGAAACAAGTGTAGTAACGATTATCTAGATATTAGGATAATTTGGACAATTTCTACCTACCCTAATTGTATGCCTAATAATATTACCATTATCCATTTGTTCGAGTCCCTGTAGAGCCACATTGCTAGGACAAACAGCGCGATGTTGAGAGTCCAGTATACAAAAAAGTAACCCACTTTGCGATAGTTGTTAATCAGGTAATCTTTCGTTAGATAACGACTGTAAGCCCCACTGTAGTCAGTCTCAGCAGGCCGCAATAAATGTGCAGCACTAAAACGAAACAAAAACTGTTTTGTGAATTGACTTTTTGTAAGTGTATTATAAATTTATGGCGGCTGATTTGTGCCATGTCGTGTTTTTGCGCTGCGCCGCGTGGTGCCAGGCGATAACACGAAAATACGCCAAATATGACCACTTTGTCGAATTTCACACCGCGAGGCGCTAGACGAAAACCCGAAAATACGACAAAGGGCTCAAATTGACAAAGGGCTCAATTTTGTCGTTTTTCTTAGTGTTTTCGCCTGGTGCCACAGGGAGCGAAAACACGACATGGCACAGGTCAGCCACCAAAGTATTACAATGAAATATATTCTAGTATATAGGATTAATATGCTTTTTTGATTTATCAATACATGTTACATACTTATTATATCAATTTATATGTACGTTTTATGATCTTTGCTATTTTCTTAACTGACATAAGTGGCGGCGTGGCGGAGTGGTTTACGCGTTGGACTAGTAATCTAAGGATTGCTTGACGCGTGGATTGCAAGCCATAGTTTCCGTGACCCTGTGAGGAAGGAACTTTTACACTCATTGCTTTGTACTGGCTGGTTCCAGGAACGGATTCGAGAGTGTTGTACAATAAGCTTATAGCTTCTTCCAACACAAACTAAATTTAATTCTGTATAAGCTAAAACTATTCGACATAAATCAAAGCTGGCAATTCATATCTTTTACAGTAGAATTTAATCATGGTTAACTTATTTTGACATTTTTTCTACCATCAGTATTACCCTATCGTCAGATTATTCAGAACTTCCGGTTGCTTTTCAAGCGTTTCTTTCAGTTCATCAAACGTTATCATTCCATCGTCATCTTTATCCATCGTAGCAAACATGGCGTCTGCTAGATCTTCAAAATTGTCATCAGTCATTGACATGGAGCTTTCTTCAATGCAGGCCTTTAAAACATTTCGTAGTTCCGTATGATCTATATAACCATTGCCTGAAACATTTTCAAATGGAAAAAAGTTCCAATTAAAGACCACTTGTATATAAAGACCATATTTTGACTCTCCCTTAGGTGGCCTTTATTCACAGATTTGACTGTATTTGCTTATCACATTAAAAATAAAAATAAAGCTGTGTGTGAAGTAATTTAAGGTAACAAAATGTAAATGAAGTGGTATTTTGACTTCCATACGCAATGTTAAGTTACTGTTACTTTAATAAATTGCCAAAAGTAACGAAGTATTTCCTTGGTTTACGCCAGAAATTGTTACTATCTGTTTATTTAAATTATCAAGGCCTCTGTTTATGTCCTATACAGGCATTAACAGCCATTTTTACATAGAAGAAGGAACATACGACATATATCTTTTTATACAATTGTGTTGCCTTCATATATATCTTTGTTGAAGACTTTTCGTTTTGTTCTTCTGATACATTAATGGTTGGTTATGTACAGACTCAATTAAACCGAGTCTGCACTTTTCATGTTATTTTCTGATCTTAATGCTTCCGAGGGATCACTCTTTTACCTGATATTAATTTTGTACTTTTACATAATTTAATTAGAAATGATATGCATAGCACTCCTTTTTATAAAGAAAAAATGTCATGGAAAAATGTCATGGGGGAGGGAGTAAAATAATCACAAAGTAGATACTTTACCATCTTTGTCATACAAGTCAAATAAAAACTTGAGTTTTTCTGTTGGCGTTCCCTTAGTGAGCATGTGTAGACCGTCAAACAGTTCACCCAGCTCGATCGTGCCATTCTTGTCCTGGTCGAGGAGGTTGAAAATTCTCTCCGCGTAGAAAGATGTCTGGAGGTGAAATATACAATGTTCCAAAAATTAAAATAAAATAAATTCAACAATGCAGAGCAAGAACGTTTCATTTGATGTTGACTTTAGAAAATGTTTTGAAACAGAAAATGTAGATAAAATTGAATTTAAATCTATCTCACGGTTAGGCTACATCCACAAGGAAACACGTATTTTAATTTATACTACTTTCAATTAGAATGAAAGTGAATATAATCAGAACATAATGAAATACGCAACTTCTGCGCATGTCGATAACAGCACCAGGCAAAGTCTGTTTCGTGTATTTAACAGTTTTACTTTAAAGGGACACCACTGATGTTTTTTGACATAACAGGACTGGAAATAATTTTTTCAAGATATATGTTCAATTTGATGTAGGTCTATACCAATAACTTGTGTGCAAAATTTCAGATCGTTTAATCACTTCGTTTTTACAGAATAATTATTCTAATTGTACAAAATGACGCAAAATTGAAAAAGCGTTGCAACGCCTTTCACTCAAATCGGGCTTAGAATGGCAGAAATAACGATTTTCAAATTATTTTTAAGTACATTTTATAATTATATTTTAACTCTTTCTATTTATAGTGCCTCTGCTGATATATGTACGAAATTCAAATTTTATGTTACTAGGATTTTGAACCTCAGTGGAGTTCCTTTAACCTAATACATCAGTTTACCTTTTTCAGTCCAAGCGCTTTGGTGAACTGATCAAAAGTAATATGCCCTTTGTTTCCGGCCACTTCTTGAAATCTTGCCTCCGACTTTTCTAGCCACTTCACATCGTCTATTCTGTAAATGAGTCAATTGAAATAACACCTTTAAACTGCTTTGATTAAAGGTGACCAACCTTTGCCTCCAGTATTATTATATCTAATAGAAATTGGAATTGATAATAGAAACTTAATATTAGAAATTTGAATCATTATCAGAAATTTCATTGAATAATTATTAGAAATTTGAATTAATATTTAATATTAGAAATTTGGATTATTATCAAAATTTGAATTATTTTTAGAACTTTTGATTATTACCAGAATTCGAATTATTATAAGAAAGTTGAATTGGAATTATTTTTAGAAATTTTGATTATTATTAGAAACTTTAATTATTATCATTATTATTAGAAATTGGAATCATTATAAGAATAAGAATTTATATAAAAAATTTGATTTTTTTATTAGAAATCTGAATTATTATTAGTTTGAGTTATTAATAGAAATTTTAATTATGAGAAATTTTAATTATTATTAGAAATTTGAATCTTTATTAGAAAGCTTACACAAAGTGTACTTACGCCCATCTTTGGAAAGTGCTCAGAAATTTGAACTATTACATGTAAAAGCAACTTTAATTATTATTAGGAATTTTAATCATTATTAGAAATTTAGATTACTATTCAAAAGCTTACACAAAGTGTACTTACGTCCATCCTTGGAAAGTGCTAAGCCTCCACGAGGAAGTCCCATTGCTACTGGGATGAAAATAAAATCAAATCAAAATATCACCTTGTGAAGAATTTAGACTTGAAATATATATTTTTTCACCTAATTACAATAGCTTATTTCCTTCATATAGAATTGAAATTCGAAACAGTATGATTTGAAATATGAATCAGAGTGATTTGAATTTCGAAACAAAAGAAAGATTTGAAATTCGATACAGCAGGATTCGAAACAGTAAGACTTGAAACTCGAAAGAGTAAAATCCAAACTTCTAAACAGTAAGATTTTAAATTCGAATCAGTAAGATTTGAAATTCGAAACAAAAGAAAAATCTAAAATTCGATACAGCAGTATCTGAATATCGAAACAGGAAGATTTGAGATTCGGAATAGTAAAATCCGGGTAAGATTTTAAAATTTTAAATTCGAAACAGTAAGATTTTAACATCTTAATTCAAAACAGTAAAATTCGATGCAGTAAGATTTTAAAAATGGAAGTTCGAAATCGTAAGATATGAAATTGGAAATTAGGAGGTTGCGGAGCATACTTTCAGTTGTGTAATTATGAAGTAGGTATTTGATCACGTACCAAAAATTTGTTGCTGAAAGAAGAAAAGTACTTAGGAGGCGCTTTTCTTTTTAATAAGTTAGAAGAATTGTTCACTAGTGTGAATATAACTTTATAAAATAAACTAAGTGATTATTATCTAGAAACTTTTAACGAAGTTATGTTTGCAAAACATTTCTTATATAATGTAAATGACGTGCATATACATGTTTGTTATACCGCAAAACATTCAAATAAATGTGCATTTGTGTATGTTCGTCTTTTCCACTTTTTATACTTAAAATTTGCCATCATTTGCGATCATTATTTACTGTGGTTATAATAAAATGATTTATATGCTGTTTAAACCTAAGAGGAAATATAAATCTTGTAAATATGGTCGAACTTCGATGACTCGAATCTGGGGTATCTCTTAAATATAAGTTCGAGTCAACCATGATTCGTTCGAGACATCCAAACGTCGCTTCGGCAAATTTGCATTAGTTTGTATAACCTATTGTTATTTCGTACCTACGTATGTCTATGGTGTCTGATTTCCGCCATGTCGTGTTTTAGATATATCGCAACGAAAAGTAGACACGACAAAAATGAAGAAGAAAAATGACACATATGACATCAGCCACCATAGACAATATGCATGTGGCTATATAACTGGAATGATATAAATAAAAAGTGTACCTGCTACAGCTTTGTTTACGAGCCTGGGCATCCTCCTCAATGCGTAAGTTATTGCTGGATTGGTGTTGGCCATTGGCAACGACTGTCAAATCTTCCTAAAATAATGACCATAATATTCTGATGTTGTTTTATTTTACTATCAAAACATAATTTCTACATTAAAATAAACACTAAAACTGATTTTTTGATAGCTATACAATGCAGGAATATAAAAACACATGCAGCTGTTTCGTTGCTAAATATTAAGTAATAGAAAGTAAGTGGCGATTTTCAAATATTTGGCGGCCATCTTGGACGCCATCTTGAATTTCTCTGTTTACCACTTTTCATTCCATGTTATGCTGGCAGTTTTTGAAACGACAAAAAATTAAGAAGATTTTGGTAAATGACGAGCAGTGTTTGAAAAAATGGGTCTCGGGTAGCCCCTATAGATAGTTTTGTTTTAGTTGTTGTTGTTGTTGTTGTTGTGGTTGTTGTTGTTATTGTCGCCCTGCCATCATTTGATATAAATCATTTAAATGTCAACACTATTTGATGTTACGGATATGATTGGGAACAAAAATGCAAGGACATATTTTCTATATATTGCATGTTTGCGGTTTTGCGCATTCGCTAAAATGTCAAGAGAAAATGATTAAAGAGTACAGTATATTTTATACAAGTACAGTATACAAGGCATATTTTAGTAAGACTGTAGATAAAAGTGCACATCTGTCGTAGAAATGTAGTAAAAATAATATATAATATAAGTGCTGACTATTTTTATTTTTTCATCATTTTTGTTCTAAATTTAATTGGGTGTGGTTAAAATGTGTGCTATAGAAAGCATTCTTAGTGGTAATTGAATTACTACAGTAAAGTAGAATTACATAATTTACGCTCAATCGCTCATAAGGATCTTGTTTTGAAAACTATACCTCATACACATTATTTAAAGGATTTTTTTTCTTATTTGATATTTGGAACAAATTACCTATAACATGTATTATCGTATTAATTTTTGACATTAAAATCTTTCAAAACAGCTGTATAAATCACATTAGATACATAATGAAAATTGACCATTTGTCACAAAAAGAGAATTATTTTACTTCTTTTTCCCAAATGTTTTAGATTTTGAATGATGAAATCGCTGTAATTTTTCAAATTTTTAGGTAAAGTTTTATTTATTTATCAACACCAACTTGTTATTTAATATCAGCGTATCTTACTTGAGTTGTGTAAAAAGATTCAGAACTTGAAGATTAACGTACTATGCTCATTAGAAAATATTGATTATTGCTACATAGTATCTTTGTAAATATAAAATAAACATGTTCTGACTTCACACAAAGAAGATCTATATCATATTTAAAATTCTACACACTATAGATGGTCACAATATGAATATAAAGTGTCATTTAAAAAAAAACTGGCAATTTTTTAAAGAAAAGACCAACTTTTCTTGACCTGATATAGGGAACGCAGGTTCCCATACATAGTACTTTCATTCTTTTATTCAAGTTAGACAAATAATTTTATAGATTTCAATAAATATCTGTGATTAAAATATCTAACTCAAGGATGAGCATAGTATATCTTTGTATCGGATGTGGTTAAAATGTGTTATATTTATAGGGTAATATCTATTCTATTTTGATTAAAGATTACCACAATTATTTGATTAAAATTTTGAAAAAGTTTGTCCGGGTGTTTGGTTATTGGTGTGTATAGTTCATAAATAGAACTTAAGTTTATACGATGCACAAAAAATTAGTCGATGGATGATTGCGCAATAAATTTTTAATTTTTGGTAATGTATTAACCCATACCCTGCTGAAACAGGAAGTGGTTACTTTTACCTGCTTGTGTGTATGGTTTGACGTAGCAGCTCATTTTTTGCGATTAAAATCCCTTAAGTTTCAAATGGATTGTCCCAAATTCAAAGCAGGACAAATCCATTACACTTATTATGCAGGTTTTGTATCTATGAAATAAAAATAAGGAAAATAACAATCAAGTAGAAGCACATAATTTATAATTCAATGTATTTCCATACCTTCTCATCAGGCTCCGAAATCGATATTCTTACTTCGTCTGGTTGCGTCTTCCTCTGCTCTTCAATATTCCCGTTAGAAATGTTAGTCACGTGACAATGCTCCTGTTCATCCGGGTTACCACCAAACCTGGTAATGATAACTTCCGGTTCGTCTAGATTTGTGTCGCCACTTCCGGCAACATCTTTCTTCATGACTTGTAGATCCTCATCCATTATTGCACCATATATCAAAACAACAAGCAGGAAGGTGAGTTATACTCTGGTGTTGGCTCTAAAATAAAGAATTGAATATATTTCTCAGCTGTTTCAATTGTTTTGTACATTTATGCTATATACTGTCTTGCCATATATAATGCATTGTATATCCTCATGGGCTATATGACCTTATGGAATATTGAAAATAAACTTATCAAACTTATTTACATGTATGAAATGATTCTGTTTTGTTTTGTTAGCGCTACGGCTATTTTTTTATCTCATTATTTTCAAAATATTTAAATCCTTTTTTTTTTGGTATATGAGGAAGAGTTTGTGTTTAGATGGTTCGACTTAATATGTGTGAGAATATTTGTGTGTTTTAGTGTGCTTGCTTGCTTGACTGACTGATTGATTGATTTATTGATTGATTAGTTCATACGTTCGTTTGTACGTTCACAAACATTCATGCATTCATTCATTCATTTATAATATTCATTTATAATATTTATTTATTTATTTAATTATTTGTTTGTTTATTTATTTATTTATTTATTTATTTATTTATTTATTTATTTATGAAATTATTTATTTATTTTCCTTACTCAAACATGTAATGCAATCATGTTTTAATGATACACCAAGATCATTGTCCATGCATATCAATAAATTGTTACGTAATCATCTTATTTATAGAAAATTAATTTAAATGGCTCATTAATCCCTCAAATTAATTTCATTTCTTAAAAGCTTTTGATTTTTTGTTGTACTGATAAGTTCCCAAAATGATACTCATTAGCCATAAAGTTGTACTATCTTTGGATTTTTTGGTCATTAGTTACGGTGATGATACATTGATCAAGGATTTGCACGGAGGACAAAATACCACTTTGTTTATTTTTGCTTCTTTTATGGCTTAAAGCTGTTTTCTTTACATGAAGCGTTAATGAGTATACGAGAAAAAAATTTGCAAATCATTATTACAAATGGAAATACGAATATTTCGACAAATTATTATCACATAGAAATACAAATAATTCGGCAAGATAATGAATGGAAGTACGAATATTTCGTCAAATCAAATTATATAAACTTAAAATGTTAGCATACAATGTTAGAAAACATACTATAATAATAATATCATTCTTTTATTCAAGTTAGACATATTCTGTAAAGAATTTTATAAATTTCACTAAAAATTTCCTTGATAAAATATTTTACTCAATGATGAGCATAGTAAATCTATAACAACAAATAAGCAATGATTTTCAACAAAGTCAGACGGTATAAAAGATAAGCTTACATCTATAAAATCAAATAAAAATAGCCATTTATTTCAATTTATTTTCATTTGTCAAAAATAACAACCGTTTCTTTAAGGTAAGGGCTTCTATAAAGACGTTATAATAATTTTTTTTCAAGCGTAATTTTATTTTGGCTCTTTTGGGTTTAAAATAACCATGTCATATATATATTAACACCTGCTTATTCATTATCATTGGTAATAAAAGTGATATAAAGTTAAACACCCAATAAAATTATGCTTTATTTTGATATTTGTTATTACACAAGCAATATTCGTTATCAGTACTTTTCTTGTTAATAAGCTCCCGGATCTGCAACAAGAAAAAAAGGCATGTTTTTGTTTGTTTTTGTTTGTTTTTTCGATAAGGCACACATAGAATGATTTTATCTGTTGATAATATTTGCCAAACAAAAAGCTATATCTATAAGTTCACCAAATATGAATCACTTCTTAAAATACGAAGAAATTTCGACCAAAACCTGCGCACCTTTCTGACATTGTAATCGGATAGATAATATTCGACTAAAATATGAGTTCCATATAAGCGATAGTTCCTTATATCCGTGTTCGCTTAGAAGATATTTTTCATAATGAGTAAAAAAGAGCAAAATTCTGGTCAGTTTTTTTTCTTTTTAATTCGCTATTACTGTATTCGATACAAGTGAGCAAAAAAATAATTAGATACGAATCTTAATTTTATTTTTGTTTGATTGATTGATTCGTTCGTTCGTTCGTTCGTTCGTTCATTTATTCATTCATTTTATTTTATTTATAAGTGAAGTTTACTGTGCAAGCTAGCAAAAAAAAAATGAATATGAACCAAAATTTTATTTTTGATTGATTGATTGATTGATTCATTCATTGATTCATTGATTCATTCATTCATTCATTTTATTTATTTATTTATTTATTCATTCATTCATTCATTTTATTTATTATTCATTCATTCATTCATTCATTCATTTTATTTATTTATTTATTTATTTATTTATTTATTTATTTATTTATTTATTCATTCATTTTATTAATGAATTTCTATTTTGAGAAAATTTGTTAAAATGCTGACGACACTTACAACATACGACTAATTTTCAATTTCCCAGCATGCAAAATGTTTAAATCTATTTATATACCTTTTTGAAGTGTTTTAATTTACAACAGACGACCACTTCGAACAAAGCCGGAAGAAGGGAAAATTTTAAGATAAACGGTTAGCCAATAAAAAATGTCTATTTTTAGAAGCTTATTTGACGTTAGCACTTCCGGATTTAAGTAATCCATATCCCTGATTAATATTAAAATTGTTATATATTGGTTGTCGCCTCTTTATAAATTACCCAATCCTTAAGAGTAAAAATTCACTGAAATTCTACCATTAAATCATTATAAAAAACTCATGTTTTTTTGACATCCAAAAAGATGAAATATTGACATAGGCAGACAAAACAAATAGACATGTCTGTTGACGTAAACTACATGTATTACAACTTTTCTACCCATTTCAAATATAGATCTTCATATAACATAAAGTTGTCGTTTGAATAAAAAAAACAGTGAAAGCAATTTACATTATTAGCATATTTTTGTGGAGGATGAATGAAATATTCACATTTTCAACGTCATACAAAAACTGAAAATGAAGTAAATATATTTAATTTAATTTTACATTTTCCAGCCCAAAGTAATTATATCAAACGTATGAAATTTATTAAGTGTTCTCTGTTATTATCTGATATAATATAACACATAATTTTAGCAACCTACGCACATTTTGGATCACCTTGGAAGATATTTTGAGGTAATTTTAACATAGCTGAGTACAATACTGAATCATATTGCAGCAGTACACAGCTGTGAAACCTATATTGGACGCTAGCCGAGACCAATATAATAGTTGCAAGTAATTTTCACACAGTTGAGTACAATACTAAATCATATTGCAGCAGTACACAGGTTATATCCAAAATATTTTAATTTGAACATCACGTAGTGCAAATGCTGGGAGTCCAAAGGTAAAATTTTATAAAGATTTAAAAAAGTACAAAATTTGTAATAGATCGCTTCAGCATGGAATCATCGAAGTCATACATGTAGAGTTCGGTCGCTTTAGTTGCTAAGTAAAAACAAAATGAAACTTATTTAAACTGATGTGATGTCGACTGCATCTGTAACTTTCCGACTTCAAAAATAGTTCCCGCTTTAAAAATTTTAATCTAAAAAACACACGACGTTAATTAAAATCAAATAGATGCGACATTGAAAAATTGTAATTTTATTATATAGAGACACCAAATGCAACGCAAGCAAAATGAATATTCTTAGTCTTTTGCAGGAAGAGTTATAGACATACCCGTGCTAATTTTGCGACTCCCTAAAATGCACGGCCGTGCATATATTTTGACGTCATTTACGTTATACAAACATAGTGTAAAGACGCGCTAAATGTTAGCGTTACACTATAGCCGCGTCAATGAACAATGATTATTTTGCACTTTAAACAGTCTTTATTTTGGGTAATATGATAACTAGAATATTGTATTCGTGTAGGTTCATTACTAAATTTATTCATCTCGTTCACTAAAATATTATCATCCCCACCAGACGCTCGTATTATATAATTTTATTCAACACGTTCAATAAATTCAGTATTGAACCTACACTCATTCAATATCAGTAAGGGAACGCATCAGTGTTTGCAGCGCTTTGATTTAATCATAAAGCGAGCAGCGAATGGACATACATAGCCAATGAATTTGTTATTTATGAATTTGTTTTGAAATTTATTTATGTGTTACAGCAGAATCAAAAACAAGCAAACAAAAAAATTAACAAAGAATAAACAATAAAAAAAAATTGAAAAGATGTGTTTCCTATACATAAATAGATCATCTGATATTCGACTGGTTAAATAACATAAATGAAATTCATTAAAAATTTATACCATAAAAATTGGTATACAAAAATTGTAATACTCATATAAGGACAAACATAATTTTACTTTGGATAATACTTAACAACCTCTTCGGACATTCTAAGTGAAAATCAAACATGATCACCTTTTTTGCATGTTTGAATTTCAACTAAACTTAGCGTTAAGTATTTTATGAAGAGAAAACAAATGTTAAGTAGCAAACTATGAGATCGACATACAATGAACAAAAGATCGTTTTTCTTTTGTCAATGGTCACATACATGTAAACACGGTTAAATACCGCTAAAGGTGTTTAACACTTGAGTACATTCACGATCTCCACGTGCAAATCGGTGAACATACACCAACTATTTAGGTATAATATAAAGTTCGGTTATCATTTTGCAAATGATTGTGTGGTGACTTAGCTTAAATCATGACAAGATTTTTTTATTGTGACTTTTGTAAGTTTATAGATGTTGGGTAAATTTATTGCGAAAACCGCGCACGTGCGTGTTGGACTACGCAAGGCCGGAGCAATGTGGCTGACAGTACACTTTTATGTTGCAATTCAAACAGTTAATAGAAGAAACGGCAGCATGCATGATGAGGTTGTGAGTTGTGAGTAATTATAATTCATTAGTTATTTTTCTACATGTTGGCGTTTTGTTATGTGAAAAGTTTGCATGATTTCGTGGTATGCAATTCATAGATATTGGTAAGTATGCATTTCAAAACAATGTCGCTTTATTCCCAAGTACTTGGTTGGGGTAGGGAGGGCATATACTATAAGTTTGCATTTGTCTGTCCATCAGTCCGTAGACAGACGTATTTCTAGTTGTTTCCATACATGTAT